GGCTCAGCTGGGCCCCGACTCCACTCACTCTCGGCCCGACCTCTCTGGCTTCATCTTTCTCCGCGCCCGTGCCCGCCAAGTCATCTGTAGCCGCGACCCTGTGGACAGTGTCTCTCCTGGCCTCGCGGCCTCCACACGGGCCCTGCCAGTTTATGCCTCCCCCCATGCAGAGGCCAAAAGCATCTTGAAAACAGCACTCTCCTCCCACTGCGCCCCTAACACTCTGTCACATCCCTTATTTTATTTTCTTCGTGGCACTTAGGACAATCTATAAATACCTGCTCTCTTTTTTTTTAAGCTCTGTGCTCACCGTGGGGCTTGAACTCACGTCCCCAAGATCAAGAGTCGCATGCTCTACGACGGAGCCAGCCAGGCACCTCTATAAATATCTTGTTATATGGTTACTGCTGTCTCCCCCGCCCCCCACCGGAATGTAGGTGTCCTTCATGCTGGTGATCCCAGTGTCTACAGCAGTGCCTGGCACCCAGTGCCTGTGGGCTCCGGGGATGAGCGCTGTTACGCTCCTACTGGCCGCGTCCCTGCCGCTGGCCGTGCCTACCGAGCCCAGTCCCTGAACAGCTCCACTGCTGCGATCGATCTCCCCACCTCTGCCCCCAGCCCGCCTCCAGGCAGAGCCTGCCCTCCCTAAGGGGGTCTCACCACAGGCGCAAAGCTGGGGATGACACTGGTGACGTGCAGGCAGGGGCTGCGCTGTTCCCCCAGCGCCAACCCGACGCCATCACCCTGAACACACTCTGGCACCCCCACCCAGGCCGGGATTGGCAGCGGCAGGTGGGGCCAGGCACGGCTGGTGCGCTCGTCCGTCCGTCCCCGTGCGCACCCCAGGCTCCCGGCCCTGGCCACGCCCCGCCTCCAGCTGCCTACTCACCCTCGCTGAGGAAGGCATCCCAGACGCGCAGCACCGTGGGGAAGGGCAGGGAGCGGGCGAAGAGGCACAGGAACCACTCGGGCAGGTACAGCAGAGGCCCGACGCCCACCTGCTGCAGGTGCTTGTGCACGCGCGGGAGCAGCCGCCGGAGCAGGGCCGCGAACACTTCAGCGTCCAGCTGCACAGCCTCCTGCAGCCACGTCCGTCCGTCCGTCAGCACGACTCGCAAACCCCGGGCTGCCCCTCTCAGTCCCTAGGCCCGTGCCTGCCCAGCCCCTCCCCTGTGCCCTCCGACCCCCTCCAGCCTCTCACCATGTGGGGCCCGTAGTAGCCAGGGAGGTAGACCTCACAAATCTGCACCAGGCACCAGAAGGCCTCCTGCGGGAGGGGCACAGGCCGTGAATGCCCGCACCGAGGGGACCGCAGAGGGAAGCACAGGGGAGGGGAAAAGAGCACGGGGGAGGGCCTGGGCATCATCTGGGGGTGGCTCTGGAGCCTGGAGCCTAAACGCAGCCTAAACTCAGGCTCTGACCGAAAGACTCCTCACTGCCCAGGTAGAGGCCGATGATGGGTTTAGGAAGGTGGAAGTCACAGGGCTCACAGTATTGATTTTCAGAGTCACAGAGTTGGAGCTCGCTGGTCAAGGGTTGGGAGGGTCCCAGAGTTCAAGTCCTGGGTTCTTGGGGGGTCATAAGGGTCAGAAGTCATGGTCACGGGGCTCAAAATCAGGAGTTGTGAAGTCAAGGTGATGACATCCAGGTTCTCAGATCACCGGGACAGGGGTCAGGGACCAAGGGTCCCAGGTTTCTGGAGTCAAGATCGTTGGCCTTGAAGGTCACGGAGGTTGGTGGTCATGAGGTCCCAGGTCACTAGGACAGGATCTGGGAGTCAAGGATCCCACGTCCCTGAGTCCAGAGTTCCTGGGGTTGGGGGTCACGGATCACTGGGGTTGGGGTGTCAGGGTCTCGAATCCCTGATGTAGGGTCTAGGGCACTCACCTCTGGGGGCAGGTGCATGAGCAGCACAGCAGCCACAGGGCCCTGGGCCTGACAGTAGCCCTGTTCGGGCCGATGCAGCGTGTAGGCCTTGAGTACCTGCAGGAGCCCCTGCTGCCTGTACCGGAAGACCCCATTAGGGGTCAGTCCTCCAGGCACCCCTTCCCCACCCACTGGCGGCCCCTTCCCAGGCCCCAGCCCCCCTGGGCCTCACTGGGTCCCCTGAGATGGAAGGATATAAAGCTGAGGTGGGGGCCTGGGCCGAAGTGCCCTGGGGATCGTGGGGCCGGAGGTCTCTGGGGGTCCCTGGCCTCCTACCCATGACCCTGAGGTGACACAAACATCTCGTGCAGAGGGAACTGGCGGTGCAGGTCCCTGCTGATGGTCTCCATCCAATGTGGGTCTCCAGGGGCCTTGGCCAGTTCCTGTGGGTGGACAGGAAGGTGGGGGTGAGGGCTCGGAGTGGCGAGGGGCTCTGAGAAGGGCAGGCAGGACCCCTGCCAACTCTATTACCTTATAGGTGTCGGGGCTGTTCTTTTGACACACGTGGGCCCCGCACAACAGAGGCCAGCACCGGGCCCGCAGAGCCGAGGGGATGCCTTTCCGGCACTGCATCTTTACCTGTGGGTGAGGCCAAGGAGTCCCGTTAGAACAGCGAGGCCAGCCTCTCCTGCTTCTGTTGGCAGGTCCCAAGCCCCAGCCTGTCGTGGGGCAAGGGTCACCTTGGGCGGTAGGGGAAAAAGGCAGGAGGTCCCGGGATCCGGGAGGGGTAAATTTTGCCAGGGCACGGGCAGAGGCAATGGGACCATCGTCCCCTCACCTTCTTGTATCGCCGAGACATGGTTTTCTCCCAGTGTGAGGTCATCTCTACCCACTTCATCTCTCGCTGGCGGATAAGGTCTGCAGGAGGGTGACCGGGCCTGAGGGCACACGACACAGGTGTCGAGGTGTGGGCCAGCTGTTACCTAGAGCCCACATCTGCCACCCTTCATGCTACCCAGGTAAACTCAGCTCCTGGCCCTGGAGATCTCTGGGGAGCCCTGGGGCGGGAGGGGGGTGACCTGTCACCCAGGAGTTGCCAATCGTTGTCATGGGGACAGGAAAGGATGTGGCTCTGATGTGGGCAGAAGCAGGAGAGGCTGAAGGGGGTGTGTAGGTGTGTGCTGGGGGAGGGGTTGGTTGGCCGTCCCCCAGGGTAGGAACACAGACAACTCCTAAGAGAAGCTAAGTGGACAGAGCCCCGGACTAGAAGCCAGGAGTCCTGAGTTTGAATGTAGTTCTATTTGGTCTCCGCGGTGACCTCGGGCAAGTTCCTATCTGCACTTGCTTTCCTGTCTGTGTATTGGGAAAGGGAGAGGGTGAGGGAAGAGGTGTGGGTTCTTTGGTTAGGTTCTGGGATTATTGGGGCAGAGATTAAAAGGGGAAGGATGTTTGGCCTTAAGGATAGGTGCAAAGCATTGGAGGTTCAGGGTAAAAGAGACAGATCAGAGACACTCTTGTCTCAGCCCTGCTGGCTTTAGGATTCTACCTGGAGTGTGAGAAGGGGTGACACTGGCTGAGCCCCCAGACCCTCCAGGACCCTCGCGGTTGAGCCTCACTCTAAAATTCATCCCTCAGCCCCCATCCTCAGCCCCAGCACCCCGCTGCCCCCCATCTCTCCCCCACTTACCCTGGCTCTGCTGAGCTGCCCCCAATGAAGCCATAGCGGTCAGCCTGGCGATATGGGCCGGGCCCACTCAGCTCGGAGTCAGATCCCAAAGAGCTGGAGTCATCCTGTAGCTCTGAAGTTTGCACCAGGTCCTCCCCTAGGGCCTGGGCCATGGTGCCCCAGACCCCTGCTACAACAGGCTGCAAGATGTGGGGAGAGCCAGGGTGAGAGGCAACTCCTGAGCAGCCTGGGGCCTGGGCTCCCATCCAGCCGGTCCCCAGCCTGAGGACCTGACTGTGGGGTTCAGAGGGAAGAGGCTTCGGGGTATCTCACCAAGCTCCTTCTGTCCCCACTTTTATTGGGGGAGGGGAGGGTGGGCCCTGAAGTGGCAGAAAAGCCAGACCTCTGCATAGAGGCCCAGCCCCAGGCCCAGCCCCTGCCCCTGCCCCTGCCCCCCCCCAGCCCAGCTCACCTCCCTGCTGCACCTCACCTCCTCCTCTCACTTCCTCCTCAGTAGCAGACAGCAACCCGCTGGGGGGCCCCTCCCACACTACCCTCCCTAGTGTGGGGGGGGTCACCCCTTCCTCCCCGAGGCTCTTCCGGTCTGCCCCAGTGCTGTGGGCTCCTCCCACCCTTCCCGTGGGCTCTCCGTGGGCCCCCGTGGGCTGGATGGCGGCAGGCTTAGGTTTCCGCCATGGGTGTGACGGGTCAGGGCCCAGCAGAGGTACAGAGGCCAGGCCACCTCCAGTTTTGAGGTTACCGGCACGTAAAGCAGTTCAGGATTCCAGTGAGAACTATGGTTTATTATAGTTTTGCTCTTTACAAAGTAATGCTTTGGACACGCACATAATGCAGCGTTATTATGCACTCAAGAAGCAATGACGGAACTTATATAAAAAAATATTAACTTAGCGCGCACCACAGTGTGGACCAAAACGCGGTGGGTGTCTGAGTCTGGCCAGCTGCCTGGGGGCCACAAAGACTCAGGAGGTAAAGGTCCTCCATGAATGTGAAGCTGGGGTTTTGGCCCAGCCCCTTGCTATCTCTGAGCCTCAGTTTCTTTTTCTGCACCTTGAGGACTTAATCCGTGGTGTATGGGGAGACAGTTATTAACGTACTCACACCACACTCCCGCCCAGGGTGGGTGGGAAAGACTGGTCAGTCTTTGATAGAGAAAAACAACTTCCACAGTATTTCCGGTCCCATACCCTCGGAACTGGACTCGGTCATTCGTCAGGGGAGGGACCAGACTCGACCCAGCCCCACCCCACTGGCCGGGCTCCGTCCTGGACACACACACCCAAACTCAGCGCAAGCCCCGCCCCGCCCCGTCACCTATGCCCCGCCTCCGGACCGCCGCGGCCGCTGCTCCCGGCGTCCGGCGGGGGCGCTAGAGCGCGGGGGCAGCGCGCGCGGGGCGGGGCGGCAGGCCGAGGAGGCGGGGCGGCAGGCCGGGGCGGGCTGGGGCGGGCGGAAGGAGCGCCAGGCCGGAAGGAGGCAGCGGGAGGGCGGGCGGCAGGAGTGGGCCCGGAGCTGCTGGGCCGGAGCGGCGGCGCCGCCATGTCCGACAGCGAGAAGCTCAACCTGGACTCTATCATCGGGCGCCTGCTGGAAGGTTGGCCGGGGCGGGGGAGGTCGGCGCCCGCCGCGCCCGGGCCCCCTGCCTGGCCCGGAAGTGGTGCGCGGGCGGGCCTGCCCCTCCCAG